CATTTGCATAGCCGTGCTGATCATCACTTCGTATCTCACTAGAGATGGCAGTCCTCTGCTTGGAAAAAGTCCAGAGAGATGAGTGAGGACTTCGAATTTAAACCGATCAAGCGGTGGGACGTAAGCAGTGCCGTGGAAGCATATGGTAAATAGTCGTAGTAAGCGGGCCCAAAAAGCAGATATCGGCGGGCAATCCAGTAGTGCGTGGCGGATAGTTTCTGTTCCAGTCCTACAACGTGTACAGTGTGGAGGTGTACTATGAGTTGGATCAAAATGATGTGTCACGTCGTTGAAATAGCACCGATTGTGCACTATGCGCCAAGAGAGATATCGTTCAACCGGCGTCTTGGCAGGATGGTGCACTCTAGACCAGATTCGTTTCAAGGCGGCGTCGTTCAGTGAATCACGTGCGATTTCAAAGATATCATAAACTTTGTGGGGGAGATTGAGTGGTGTGACCTTCGCGATCTGATGACTCCGCATATGCCGAACACTAATTGGCTCCTCCTGTAGATTCAGGCCCGCTATAAACCGACGGCCATTGTGCTGTGTTCCGTGCAATTTTGTCCAAGTGGAAAGGAGAGACGACATGATTTGCGGGAAGGGATGGAGATGGGCGGGGAAGCGTAGCGGGGTAGCCAGAAGATAACTCTGTAGCGTGTGTTGCACGCGAGCCGGCACTTCTTGTAAAGCAGCACCCGTTCGACCATCGTATAGGGTTGGGAGATCCGTTACAATGGACGACCAAAAAGGTGACAATAGTCCTCCATGGAGGAATCGACATAGCAAGGAGCCTCTCAATGCTATAATTTGTTCACGAATTGGTAGTAGGCCTATTCCTCCTAGCAATCGAGGCAGCGTAGCATGGATGTGTGGAATGAGAGAACGTTTGGGTGAGCCAAGTTCGTCCGTCCCCCATATGACACCCTTGACTATTGTGTCAAGCCAGATGAGTATGGTTGCTGGGATATCTACTACATAAGCAATATACCAAATGCGGGAAAATAGTAGGGTATTTACAGCGGTGACTTTGCCAAATGGAGTAAGAAACCGAGAGCGGATCCTCTCAGCAGTATTAACAAGTTTAACTTTCCATGATTCCCACCAGTCTGTAGCTATCGGGCCACTGAAACACATGGGAATACCAACGACTTTGAAGGTATCAGCGGCGTTGATGATCTGAAAATCCTGCCACTCGGCCAGATCCGTAGCATCGCCTAGGAGTAAAGCACGACTCTTTTCAACATTGAGCTTGGCACCAGAAGCGCTTTCATACAGTTTAAGAGCAGCTTTCGTGAGATGCCAGTCTCGGCGGTTGTGACAGTAAATCCAGATGTCGTCCGCAAAGGAAGCGTACTTCATGTATATGGAGAAGCGAGATCGGAATCCCGTTGTGATAGTTCGTATGAGATACAATAGGGGTTCCAGAGTCAGGACGTATAATAGGGGTGACAATGGATCTCCTTGCTTAACCCCGCGAGAAAGTGGGAAAGGAGCGGAAGGAAGCCCGTTGACCATAACCATAGCCTGACTTCCAGCATATATACGTTCTAAGAAACGACGAAAACGTGGTCCTAATCCATAGTGGCTGAGACACCTGTCTAGCCATTTCCAATCTACCCTGTCGAAAGCCTTCGCCTGGTCTAATGATATCAACGCAGCTTCCGGCATTAACCGAGGTCTTGCTTTGGCAACAGCGAGTACAGTTTGAATCAAAACTGCATTGTCCACGATCCGCCTATCCGGCAAGAACGCAGTTTGGAAGCGATAAATTACTGTTGAAAATGCTTTACTCGCCCGTTGAGCGAGGATGCTTGTCAGGATTTTGAAATCCACATTGATAAGAGAGATAGGGCGGTAGTTTTCGGGATGTGTAGCATCGCCCGTCTTGAAAAGTGGCACAATTAAGGAAGTTTTAAATGCCTTTGGAGCTTCCTCCTCTCCCAACAGGAAGGAATTGTAACTTGCACATAGGATTGGGCTGAGAGCCTCAGCAAATCGTTTGAAGAGTTCTGTCGTCAACCCATCAAGTCCAGGAGACTTGGACGTTTTTAGCAAACTAATAGCCTGGGTGACTTCTGATATAGCAATAGGGGCTTCCAGTCCGGGAATCATATTTTGAGGGATCTTGATGTCATGATCCATACCTAATAACTCGTCTGCTGCCGGTGCCATAGCTTCGGGCCGTTCTGCAGCAAACATTGCGGAAAAATGGGATGCCATTGTGCTGACACAATGGACAGGATCCGAGCTAATGCGGCCTGCTCGATCTTTTAGCGTCTGTATAGTAGTTCGCTTTCTTTTGGCTGCAATCAATGAATAAAAGTACTTAGAGGGCCGTTCCGAGTTCTCGATTTGGGCGACACCTGAGCGGAGAAACGACGCAGTCCAGTATTCTTCTTCCGTCCGGCGAAGCGATGACTCGATATCTTTGCGCTCCACCACACACTCGGCACTATCAGGATGGCGAAGTATCATATGGTCTAATTGTTGAAGCCTGCTGATGCTCACCACTTTAAGATGGGCAACATGCGAATTTAAAGCAGCAAAAACGCGATTTTTCAATATTTCAACTAGACATACGCGTCGCTCTACATGATTTTGGGAGAATTGGCTCGCAGGTTGAACTGTTGGAAAACGTCCGTGACGTCACACCCCTTGAATATCAGACTGCACAAAACACTTTAGCAAGACGTTGAAGACCAGAATCCCCATCTGGAGAATAGCTCTCCCGCAACCTACACTAGCCATGTCTACTAAATCTGCCCCACCGGCCCCAAGCGCTACACTATTTTCTCATATTCCAGATGCAAAGAAACAAGCTGCTGCCAAAGCTCCCGCTGTTGCTGTTGTGAAGCCAGCTGCAAGGTAAGACCCTACAGGATTCATCGGTCGTTTGCCTTATTTCGCCTCTTGTTGGTGCTGAATCGTGCACATTGCAAACATCGTGGACAACGCAAGCATTTACAAACAACATACAGATCTTATATAGAACTGCACTCTAACTAACATCTGCCTTTCAACCTTTAGTGTAATAGTCGTCGCTCCCAACGCTGCCGGCACCGGAAAAGGAAACGACTTCAAAGTACTCATGCTCAAGCGAAATGCAAGGTACGTTCACACCCCAACACTACCAATTCTCCATCTCACCCTTCATCTCACCCCACTCACAACAGAGGCCCATTCGGCGGCATGCACGTCTTCCCCGGCGGAAAAATCGACCCCGCCGACCACTCCAACGACTGGTCATCGATAATCTCACCCACCCAAATCGCCCGCTCACAAGCAAACCCCACCGTATCCCTCGGCTGGAAGGTCGCCTCCATCCGCGAAACATTCGAGGAATGCGGTGTGCAGCTCTTCACACCCCCGCTGTCTGCATCGGCCGATAAAGTCCAGGAATGGCGAGACAAGGTGCATCACAAGTCGACTAATTTCATTGAGATGTGCAAGAGTAGTGGAGTTGCACCTGCTGTGGAGCGAGTTGTTTATTGGTCTAATTGGATAACGTGAGTGTGAAATGGTGTTTGTGGAGGCTTACAGCGGGGATTTTAATTAATTCGTTGTAGACCAATCGTTGTCCCCAAACGCTTCGACACGCATTTCTTTGTCGCTGTGCTGCCATCCGCTGATGCGCCTTCTGGACAACAGCATGCTGCTGGTAAGCCCCCATCCACTCCCTCTATTCTTTCTGTATCTCACACTTATCTTGAAACAGACGGAAAAGAAACCCTCTCGATGGACTGGTTCACGCCCAACGAAGCCCTTGACGCCTTCTACAAGGGCACCATCAAATTCATCACCCCGCAATTCGTAAACTTGACCGAGCTGAGTCGTATGACGTTTGCGGATCTGGAAGCGTTTGTGTCAAAGGGTGTCGAGAGGCCTGGTATTCGACCTATAACTCCAGAGCAGGCTAAAGGGCCTGATGGGACGACGTTTGCTGTTATGCCGGGTGATGCGTTGCATTCGTGAGTGTGGTTGCTTGGATTTCACGTTGGTGATGAGACTGGTAGAACTCACGAGGTTTTTGGTTGTTATTAGGTGGACAAAGAATACGGCTCCTGTGAATGCCAAGAACCGTGTCATTACTATCAAGCATAAGAATAGGGATGAGCTGCAGTGGGTTTGTGAGAATATGGGATCAAAGTTATAAACGCCCTTTAGACTGACTGGTTTGTGGCAAAACCAATATTATGGTATCTCTTTGTATGGTTTGAAGATTTATAAACATTGTGATGATTAATTTTCATTGACTCGTGTTGTACGACGGCGTCTCTCGCAAGCACAGCAGAAAGCAATCAACAAAACAAACCTAAAAACCAAAACATATGCTCTCAATCGTTTCAAAAATGAGAAAAGTTGTATCTTGTGTGTAGAGAAAATGGATATTATACATTGGGATTGCGTGATATCTACTAGTAAGTAAACTCTAAATAATAAGTGTATAACTCTTCCCCCACATCTCCATCCTATATATATCCCCCACTCTACCCCCTTTGTTCTATTATGAGGTCCATGCGAGTCCATTCAGAACAACCGTCGTAACCGAGTACGGCGTACACGAAACCGAAACCACCGAATTGCTTCCATATCCAGGTGGCGGCACTTGAGCGTGATTCTCACTATTTGATGTCCTGTATGCTGTTATAGTCATGTTTGTTGTCTGTGTAGCGTTCACACCGTAAGCGTATAGTGAGAGGTCAACTCCAAAGACTCGTTGGAAGGGCCATTGGTTTAGTGCTACAATCACTATTTGGTGGTTTGATGTGGAGCGCGCTGCGATTACGGCTACATCAGTGCCTTGATCTGACGCTATAATGTCCATTCCAGGTCTCAGCCACCGAGAATATTGCATCATGACATAGTATTGCTTTCCAGGAGTTGGGATGCCCGATTGGAAGTACGTTGTTGTATAACCAGTTTGAGGGATACTCAACAAGCCCCAATCTCCTCCAGTATCCAATGCCTATAAAAGTGAGACAAGGCATCAGATGACGATACCACACTTGGTAATCCCAAAATCAAATGGCAAAAAAAGCTGTCGTCCAGACTCCTGAGGCTTTACCTGCCAATAAACCCATGCAGTAACACCCAAGTAATAAATATCTGCTACAATCTGTCGAGCAAGACCAATACCGCCTAAAGAACGTATTCCCGTGGCAGCAGGTACCATTGTCTGGCCTCCTGTACCAAGCTCGCTCATCCTAAGAGTCGAGGTGACGTTAGCTATAGAATTCATTCAGGTAAACAACTCGCTATCAACTAATACTACATACCAAACTTTCTTCCCAATCTTCTGTACATATTGACCTAAAGCTGCCCGCTCAGAGTTTGGTGGATCTAATCAGTCGTTTAGACGAAAGACAAAATCAGTACAAAGGAAGATATCAGGCTACATCCTCTACAACTCACCGAAATATCCATGAGTATTTACTTTCTGAAACGACGCCATGTTCTTTGTCGATACAGTTTGCAACGTGGCTTGCGTATACGAGTATGCGACTTCGTCAGGACTAGCTATTTGCGTTGTGAGACCATACGATTTCAATGTCGTGTTGAGGGTATTGACAAAGTTGACGACAGAGGAGGCATCGAAATGACATCCTTCTTGATTGGCATTGGCGTTGTATGCCCACCAGTTGGCAGTTGGTTCTGTGAAGGGCGCCACACTCATAAAGGATATATTGTAGTTGTCTCGGTAGAAGAGGATCGCGTTTGCCAAGTAGTCTGATGTGAATAGGTCAGTACAAGCGCAAGACAGTTAGTGCTACAACATTGAGCATGTTTCTACCTGCAAAGATTCCATAGTTGCCTGGTATCAAGTTGTCACTTCCATCTGTATTTCCCATACTAGATCCAGAGTAGGTCATCCACCATGGAGGAGCTTAAAAAGGAAACCAGTCAAAACTATTTAGTTATCAAAACATACAAAGGTTTGGCACATACATGATGTGAAGAGCTCTGCAGCAATAACACCTCTCTTGATGGCAGCAAGGAATGTCAATCGTTGACCCTTATCCAAATCCCAGTTGTACGGTCCTTGGTAGTATTGTTGCACAGCAGGCATATCAGAGAATGAGTGATAGCTCTATAATCAGGTTGAAAAGCGAATCAGTTATCTAAAATGACAATGCAAAAAAAGAATACCAAGACTTATGTAAATAACTTACAGCAACATTGGTAGGTGGACTCGGCTGCGTAGCTCCAAGATTGTATCTGACAACAGTCAAACCAAGACCCTTGTCTTTATCAAAAAACAGATCAAGCAAGTCGTCGAATGATGTTGTTCCATTGAGATCTTCACCAGCGAAACGAGCCCACCAAGCTAGTGAAGTACCAAAACCAAGCCAGTCTGTTCCGTTTACAAAATTGTTTTTGCTCAGCTTGATTGTTGAGTTGAAGTATGGGGCATCGTATATTGGGTTGTTTGTCAAGAGAGCCTTGATGTGGTTGTTGGTAAAGTATAGAACCATGAGCACTATTCCTCCCACAATGATCAGACCTAAGATGCATATGAAAACCAGGTCAGTTACTTTGATGTGCTATTGAACGACCTGGCGAAACAACTAGAGGTTTTTGGCATTCACGACCTAAACCAAGAATAAACACCTACCAGCAATAACTCCAAACACAGTCCGTCGAATACAAACAGCTCGTGGACTCTTGCGCTTCTTTGGTACAGCAGCAATAGCACCATTCTTGTTGAATCGCCAAGACCTCCTCTTTTCATTCCTGGCATCAAGACTGTCTGATGACCGACTGTCCGAATCATCAGCGGCATACAACGATTTCCGGAGATTTGAAACTATGAATTCAAGTAGGTTAGCAAACTGTGATTTTGCAAAATGTCCGAGAGTCTCGAACACACAACTTACAAACTCTAGAGAACGAATTCATTTTCGGTGGTACAGCAACGAGGGTAGAACCCGAGGTATCTGATTTCTCATCTCTAGATTTCCTAACCGCACTCTTGTCTGATATATCTGTTTGAGAAGCGTTTGGCGGTTGTTGTTCATCGTTTGCTTCCCATGGAGCCACGACGATAGGGTGGTGCCGTGTAGGGGACTTTGATCGTTGCCTTATGGATATGTGTTTGAATATACTGTGACGAGTCACTACAGTTGGCTGCTGCTGTTGAGATGGTATTGTTGTTGTTTGCGGTATATTGGATATAGGTGGTGGTATTGTGGTAGTGGTGACATCTGATTCAGTCATATACATGGATGCAACATCTACAGTGCTGTCTTCTTCGACATCATGACGAGCGTGTCTGTGATGTGGTTGCTGCTGCTGTTGTTGTGGTAATGCGTTTACAACATACGTAGGCATCCTATCCGCATAGTGTGTCCTGGTCAATACAGTCGGTAGCTGACTCGAATTCCCATCATTGTATCGATACACGGTCTCCTGGGACAACTCTACAATCCGACCATTGGGAGACTGTATCATCAGATCGTCGAATATGACTTCGCTACGATCCGTTGCACGGTGCGATGGTCGATTATACAATGGTAGTGGCAAGTTGTCGAGTGTAGCAGTTGATGGAGCGACATGGACGGTTGTATTTGCCGATGAAGAATGTGATGCCTGGTTTTGGTTTGCAAGAGCCCTGTTTGATTGTGAAGCTGGATTTGGGACTCGTGAATCAGTCCTTGTAGGAGCCAACAGATTGGCCCTGTTGGTATATGATTTCATATTGTCTATTGGCGGGTCGATTCCACGATGTGTTTCATCTGCATCACTACATGCAATCGGTTAATGTTGCATCAATTGTTGTGTCTTCACATGTTAATGGGAGGTTGGGCAGCACTTACATTGAGAATGGATCTGTATTTGTATCCAAGCGATCCGCTGGAGACTGTCTGGCAGGCCTTGATACCTTTGTATATCGGTCTGGTTCCATTTCCTGATGCAAAATCTACAAACAGCGACCGCTTGTGGAGAAAGAAGGCGGATTCGATCCAGAAACAAGGAAGACAAGGTTCTAGCCGTGTATCTATCATGTACGTGAATTCATCAGTTTGTAAGTCCCTCCCTCGTTTTCTTTACAATTTTTGGTTGGCTTAAAATCTGTTGCACCAAGTCAACAAGCCATATGAAAAACAAAACGTCCACCTACTCGATGGTATATGGATTCCGTTTTCGCACGACAGGCACGACGGTACAAGCTGCTCTTTAAATTTCCAATTCTCTCTCTCTTCAAGAAATGGGGTTTCTACCGGCTGACTATCGTGCGGCTGATTCACGTTGGGAGAAGCGAAGGTAGGGAACAGACATAGGGTTGGAAATCGTTTCTTTCCCCTCAATCACACACGTCGTCAAGTCACAAGGTGTCCAAAACTCGCAAGCGAGTTTTCAATCTACACACATCTGAATGCAAAGACACGACTTGCGTAAACCGCATAATGCCAAATAATCTCAATGCTACAACCGGTAATATATATGAATCAAAAAAGAAACAACGAATGTCTACAAAATACAAGAAAATGTTTAGGATTATATTACAGCGGTGTTTGTCAAATAATTGTTCAATGAGGTTTTTCAAAAAATGTCTTCAAGAATCCCTTCTAGAGTCTCTACTAGAGACACAGTCATCTAAACCCACGTCAGGTCCCATAACACGACAGTTGTAACTGAATACGGTGGACACGATATAGACACAACTGAGTTAGACCCATACTGTGGTGCAGTAACAGCCTTATGGTCCTCTGTATCGGATGTTCGGAAAGCGAGTACGGTCGTGTTGGATTTCCGGAGTGTACTGTTGGCACCAACCGCGTATGCACTAATGTCAACTCCGAATGTTCTATGATTGCACGTGGTGAGTTTGTTAGTCTCAGCAAATGTTGAGCAAGGATATGTAAGAAAACTCACCTAGTAAAATTATACGCATTTAGAGCCACCAGGGCCATTGAATTATTTGCTGCCGATCGGCCAGCGATAACTGCAACATCAGTCCCCTCATCCGCTGCAATGATGTCCATGCCTGGTCTCAGCCATCTAAAAATTTGAACCAGTTATATGCAATTGACCCAAATCATTAATGGTGTCAACTTTACTTACCTGGAGTACTGCATCATGGTATAAAATTGTTTGCCAGGGTTGAACACAGTATTAAAATAGCTGGCCGACCATGATGGTGCACTGATCAAGCCCCATCCGCTCAAATCAACAGCTTGCCAGTAGACCCAAGCAGTAACGCCCGAATAGTATATATCACCCACGATTTGGCGGGCAAGACCGATACCGCCCAGATTACGGATGGAGTATGTTGGATTCATGGTTTGGCCACCTGTACCAAGTTCACTCATCCTATAGAAGGACAGAAAGTGCTTTTTGGTCAGTATCTCTTAGACTTGTTGCGACGAGAAACTACTTGTCAAGACTATACCATGCTTTGAGTCCTCTGCCTCGTACAACATTTCCAAACGATTGACGTTCTGAATTGGGTGGATCTGCCGTTTGAAAATCAAGTCAGTTTTGGGTTTTGATAAAAACGACTTCAATAACGACGCGACAACATACCAAAGTACCCATGCGAATTAATCTTTTGAACACTCTTCAGACTCTGCGACGTCAAATCATCCTGGGTATACGAATACGCCACCTCGTCCGTCCCCGTAATCAACATCTTGGTCAACCCTTTGTTCTTGAATGTTGATGTCAAAACCTCCAGAAACGGCTCTAATATCCATTGATCAAAATGACACCCTTCTTGAGTGTTTGTGCTGTTGTCGTACTTCCACCAGTAAGATGTTGGTTCGGTGAATGGTGCCACGCTGAAGAAGGTAATGTTCCAAGTATCGCGGTAGTATATTACGGCTTGTGCGAGGTAGTTGGCAAAGAGCTGGTAGTTGCTCGAGTCGAGATTGTTGTTTCCGTCATAGTAGCCCATGCTGGAGCCTGATTTCGTCATCCACCATGGTGGTGCTACGAGAGAGCATCAAAGTATTCCATTAGCTTTTTTTGCACGCAGACAAGGGTCTCGTTGTACTTACAAGCAGAAAACAACTCAGCAGCAACAACCCCTCTCTTCATGGCAGCGATAAGTGTAGCCCGCTGCCCTTTATCCAAATCAAAATTGTATGGTCCTCCATAATATAATTGTACAGCTGGCATATCAGCATATGCCTTCCATGGCTAAGAATGCAAAGAAGAATGTCAGCAAAGAGAAGGGACCCATATTCTCGAAGCATAGAACTTACACCAGGAGCATACGCCTGCGTCCCACCCAAGTTGTATCTCACAACACTCAACCCCATTCCCTTATCCTTATCAAATACCAAATCCATCAAGTTCTCAAATGCCGTAGTGTTGTACATTGTCTCCCCCGCGAAACGGGCCCACCATGCTAGTGACGTACCAAATCCGAGCCAATCGGCTCCATCAACGAAATTCGTCTTTTTGAGAATGATACTGGCGTTGAAGGCTGGTGCGTCAAAGTTAGAGTTTGAGAAGAGAGCCTTGATTGCGGAGTTGGTAAAGTATAGGATGAGGAGGAGTAGACCGCCCAAAACAACTAGGCCTATTTTGTATAAAGTTGATTTCGTTAGTGTCATTTTGCTGTGTGTGGAAAACAGAACCGCCAAAGGACTCACAAAGGAAGGATCCGAGTAGAATTCTTCTAATACGCGCCACTGTTGGATTTTTCGGTCTGACGACACGTAATGTCCATGTACCAGTCTTACTATCTACAGTCATGGTTGATTTCATGGTGGGGTAATCATTGCCGCCATCGTAATCGGCCTTATTGTCATAAATTGTGCCTTCCTTGTTGGATTTTGTAACTGAGGGAAAAAAGGACACGTCAGAAGCTGCATCCTCGACAGCAACAACAATATACCAGATGCACTTACAATACTTTGCAAAGAAGCCTTGCTTGGTAGGCGCTTGCACAAGCGTCTTCCCCGACATATCCGAATCCGACAATGTCTTGTTGGACGTTTTCGTATGACTTCCCGACAAGTAATCAGCATTAGTATCAAACATATCATCATACTGCGGTTGTCCCTTCCGGCCCTTCCCACGTTGAGCAGCAGGTGGCATACTAACATCTCCACGATTATTCTTCTTGTTATTACGAAACAGACTAAAAGTACCCATATTAAACCCGCCCTTCTGTCTACCATCATTTTCATCATCACCAAACTGATTTGGGTTTCCATCTTGTGGATTCCATCCATGCTGCGGTTTGGTAGACATAAAATCAGTCTTGTATATCTTATCCTTGTTATCTTCGGAATTATAAGAATTCTGTCGGGTGGGTATAACGACTGGTGGTGTAACGGGTCCAGCCGCGTTACCGTAATCGTATTGTTGCTGCTGTGGTTGATCGTATCGTAATGGATCAACGGTTTCTACCATGGGATTCTCATGCCGACTTGTACTCATTTTACGACGTGGAATCACGACGGGCTGCTCCTGCTGTTGCGGATCCTGGTTTTCGAATCCTTGCATCGTACTTATGCCGCGCATCGGTATTCTTACAGCTGGATTCTCATCATTCCTTGGCGGTGGTTGTTGCTGCTGCTGTTGTTGATAATACTGTTGTTGTTGCTGCTGCTGCATAGCGATATCCTGCTGCATCATCATATCCTGCTGCTGCTGCATCATCATCATATCCTGCTCGTGTTGTAACGGCGATATCGGAAAAGCAGGCACCACAGTCGGACTTCTCAGTCTAGGAGAACCCGGTGGTGTCCTCCGTTGCGGAATTGGCCTTCCAGATCCATCTAAAGCCATATTTTTCTCTGGCGTTGGTGGTCTTGGCATAAAACCCTGCTGTTGGTCCATCATCATAACCTGTTGTTGCTGATGTTGCATTTGTGGTGAATGAGGAGGCATCATGTGTGGTGGTACCTGTGCTCCATAAGGTGGATACCCGTATGCGTCTGGTTGCTGTAAATATGGGTCAAAGGCTGGCTGTTGACCACCCATGTCGTATCTGGGATCCTGGACTGGGATGAAGCCTGGTGGGACACCACCATGGTTACGAGGCTGTCCATTCCTTCTAGACTTCTGCTGTTGTGCCATTATTCTTGTATACTATGTATACGAAGCTTAGTCTCCACAGAAAAGGGCTCGTGGTTTTGCGATGGAGGCGAGCTCCCTGACTCTAATCGATTCCGGAACCTGGAGGCACTAGAATCCTAAATTGTCAGCTAGCAAGGCCACAGGAGTCTCCTTCCCTCACTTGGCAACTTTTCCTAGCAGTTGTTAAGGGAGATGTTCGTTTTTGCTTTGACCGTTTTTCTTTCCTTTTGTTGGTGAACCACCGCTCCAAGATCCAAGTACCCAAACCAGCCTCCTTATATGAAGATGTGCTCGATATACTATTGGTAAGTCCTTAGAAGTGGATGCGAAGTTTGTACGTCGTCGTTCGTCCCTCCTTTCTTCCTTCTCATGACAAACAGTTTTACGGTGGGCTCGTCAACAAAAGTAGTGTAGTTACATCATTCTCACATGGAACATTTATGTGACTATTGGAATGTTCCTATGCCTAATTTATGTTTACATAGGTCCCTGCGGATTGGCCCTGTCTTGTCTGCTTCTTGCTGCCTCCTTACTCTGCCTGTCATTTGGAATAGTTGCATCAAAGAACAGTTGTGTCTGGATGGTACTGAAGTACACTGCCTCCATATTCTGTTTGTTATTTGGAACATACAGAACAGTTGGAACAGATGGATCAGTTGGAACAGTTGGAACAGATGTTTCTGGATGCTGCTTTGTCTATCTTGTTTGTCTTGTCGCTTCCTTACTGTATGTTGCCGTTCTTGCTGTTGGAACAATTGGAACAGTTGTGCCCGTTGGAACAGATGTGTCCTACTGTGTCCGTTGGAACAGATGTGTCTTACCGTGTCTGTTATGTCTGTTATGGCCTCTTGCCATGGTATCCCTCTTCTAGGCGTGGTATCCCTCTTTTTCAAGAAACCATTTTCTGGAAATAGGATCTTGTTTGCTTGGCAGTGTTGTGCCTGTTGCGTCAAATGTGAGAGATGTATCAGATGTATCAGATGTGTCTGCTGTGTCGGTTAAATTCTGCCAAAGCTTATATTAAGAACGCATTTCCTCTGGTTATTGTTTCAATCACGTTGTAAAATAATACATATATGTTGGGCAGAATAAATCATGTTTCAAATCCACACCTTAAGTGGTGCTTTCTGATTTGGGGAGCGAGAGGCAATGAAGACTTTCTCAAAGAGCCCCTCGAGGCCTACTTTACCAATCTGCACAAGAAAACAATGGACTGGGAATCGGACATTCCATGGCAGATTGGGACGGATACAGACTTATACGACATTTACCTCAAAAAATCCCATTAGTGCCTCGAACTTCAAATTGTATGATTAACATCAGGAAGCAACTGTATTGTATGCCCAGACATGTCAAATGCCTAAGAGTAAACAACCGAGTGGGAAATGCACCGAGGCATTGAGTTGTGCCATTGTAACGAGTGTCATGTTACAGCAAGAAGAGTCAAGAGACAAAGGTAGGAATAGTCTTGTAATCCATTGTAAAATCCAGGAAAATAAAGTAAAATCCAGAGTAATTCCGACCTTAGATCAGATAAGCATACGAAACATTTACGTTTAGCTGTGTTAAGCAAAATAGTCCCACCAGATCCCTACAATTTTAATGCAATTCTATATACAGTCCGAATTGTGCATCTGGATATTTAACATAATATATAGTTGGACGTTTTAGCTGCAAATCTTGTTGGACAGAAGAAACATATCGCAACCATGAGCGACACTGTAGTGCTCTGGATACAGCTCTTTAAACGAGATGCTGAAGACGCTGACGAGTCATTGGCTGCACTTCACAAGTTGGGAGACGCTACAAGACTGAAAATTGATTCTTCAATGGATGTCGACCTACTACGCAAATATCTCATCAATCATGGAGACTTCAAAGATCGATTAGCTGATGTGAAACCAGATCAATTATATGTATATATGGATGCAGAATGCAAAACGCCACTCGGAGCCGACACATCACTAAATGCCATTACAACATCTGCCAAATCTCCATTGAGAGTGGTGAGGCCCGCTCCACCTGTAAGCAGGATGTCTTTTACGATGGAAACACCAGGTTAGCAAGTCATTCCATTCCACTTCATCGTCAGTTCGTCAATTGACACGGTCTTGATTTTGCCGTTAGTCACTGCTGCTCCAAGCATAGGTAAGCTGGACATTTTCCATACATTCTAAGATATACAGTGTGTGCTGATGAGTAATTGTCTCGCCACTCATATTCGTTAGATATTTCGCTCTGGTCTACTCAACTAGAAACCATGTTGAGTGCCTACAAAGTTGAATCGAATGGTACAATATCGCTTACAGATGTCGAGCGAGAGCTGGCAGCTCCACTCCTTGCTCCGCTACCTGTACTATTCTCAATCTATAACTTCATTCCGCCTAACGAATTGATCCATCAGAAAGTTCAATTCACTACACTCGCATTCAACTCACCAATCACTTTGATGAAGATGGCGACTGTTATTCACAATGTCTTGCTTGGAAAGACTCTAGGTACGGGAAAGAATTCAGGTAAAGCTGATGAAACTCAAAAGATTGTAAAATCCCTTGTAACGTTTTCTTGTCATTTATTAAGGCATAGGATTGTGGGACACCCTCATTGTACTACCTCTACGTCTCTTTGGCGAAATAGCCAATTTGGAATCATATGATGGTCGCAATGTACAAAGTCAGTCAACCATGGCCACTTCGAGACCAGATGCTCTGGTATACTTTGACCAAGTACCGATGGTTATTGGTGAAGAGGAGGCAGAATCCA